AAAAAAAAAGATTTTGAAAATTCATGACTTTTTGAATATACCTAGGGGGGGAAAAACAAACAAACAAACCCAGAGCATAATTAACCTGTCTGAGGGCAGTGTAGAACCCTCTTGCTTTTCTCCTGCAGGTACATGCTGTATCATCTCACTCTGCACATGTGTAGCTGGGATCAATTTTGAGTTGTCTCGCTATCCTCGCTATGTCTATGGGCTGCCAGAGGACATCAGTCACGGCTATGGCTGGTCCATGTTCTGTGCCTGGGGTGGCCTGGGTCTCACCCTGCTGGCGGGGTTCCTCTGCACATTGGCCCCATCACTCAACACTTCTCGGGCGTCCGTACAAAAACCCAGACAAGAAAATGGGGCTGTGTGACCTCAGCGGGTGTGAGGGGACTCTGGGAAGCGCAGCCTGGGCAGAGCTGTGGGTCAACACCAGGAAGAGGTGGCACATCAGCGTGTGGTGAGCAGTGCCATAGCTATGGAAATACCAGCCCATGGGATGCTGCTACAGCCTCCAGTCGCGGACACAGACATTGCAAATAACGCCAGGTTTGAATTATTGGCGATTTGCTCATTGATGGTTTAAGGGGGACAGTTCTTTTAATTTGTTTTTCTTCTGTTTACAAGGGATTAAGTCCAAGGCTGTGTCTTTTTTTTGTGCTGTTTTTTTGAACTGTACCTCCATGGTCCTGTTTTTGTCCAGTTGTAAGGGATGTTTACGCACCAACTCTATTGCTGCAGGTCTGTCTAATTCAGACCCAAATTAGGGCAAGGATGTATGCGAAGTTGGCTTGAACACTTTTGCAACAGGCATGTCCAGTGTTGGCTCAGGCCATCATTTCCCAAAAGAACCTTGATCTAAGCCAAGGTTTTGGCCAAAGAATTAGCCCGTTCTTAGTATTAATTCATTTAAATTAGCAATCTGTGCTATTCCATGATACGGTATCAGCTATTTACTCACTACTAAAGCTGTTTCCAAAAGGAGCCAGCTGTAACTGAGCAGCAAGACTCTAAAATACCAGCTTCAGGAAAGGAGGGGAAAGTTTTCCTCAGCTTCTTACATAATTAAGGTTACTCATTTGGCTACCACACCGTTTTAATGGGGAGATGTATGCAACATGCAGCTTCTAACTACTCCACTAGAGGCCAGGGTACATTTCTGAAAGTACGTCAATAGTTTGAGCTGCCAGAATCAACTTTCACCCCCCAACTAACTTGTGGGTGCAACCCCTGTTCTGTGAAAGGAGGCGAGTAATCCTTCCCAAGCTCAAATAGCAGTACTGATGAACTAGCAGAAGATGGACAGCCCCCTCCAATATTAATGTCCAAAGGAACCGCAATGTATTTTCCTCAGGAACACATGGCTTCTGCTCACTTCACCACTCACCCCTTTCTCATATCGAATGCCCCCTGAGCACAGTGTCAAGAACACGCACACTCTGCTGGAACAAGCTCCCTCTCCAAAGTGAGCAGTAAGGACCTTGGAACCAGTGCAAGTACTAGGGTAACTCAGGAACATCAGCCAAAGTACTTTGGGGTGCATTTTTCTTTCATTAATTTATTCTTTCCTCCCTCATGTCCCCACCCCTCTCCCAAGTGTCCAAAAACTGCACAGGTAAAGATGAGGTGCCCAGCATTTGGAGATGTTTACATTGTATTTAAAATACAATACAGTGGCATGTAAGATACTTAATGCTAAAGTCGGTGTATTTATGAAAAGTGTAATTTTTAAATGGAAGTTGTAACTCTCAACTGGCATTAAAAGTACTGAAAGACTTGCTCAGTGGATGAAACCTTGAATTTTTTCTAATCACCAGACTGATTCACCAGAGACCTCACATGCGTATCAGCAATGGTGTTTAAAGCTTCCAGAGTTAAGTTTAAGTGACAAAGTTAAAACATCATTCGTGTGAAGCGTGCTCACTTCTCCCTTGCAAAGTGAGTGTTAGTTCAAAAGCCTCAAAGCCTCTAACAAGGCTGTACAGTCTGTTCACTGGCTGCACAAGTTAAAACGGGATGCTGAGCTGCAGTTCATGACTGCCGTATAACCTGTTGGTCGTCATCCAGAAGTAGCAGAGCAGGATTTAATCCAGTTCTAGCAGAAAGTTCCAAAGGCACATGATGGGCACTGTGGACAGGAGGTTCTCGCCTTGCCTTTTGCAGAGGTAGAACCACCGAGCAAGGGCGACAGCCCCAAGACATCACGGATTTGTTTTTAGAGGGAAAAAATGCTTTATTTTTTCCAGACAGAAAGTAATGGTACAGTCCAGTCTAGTCCTGTCCCCTGCCAAGGCCACAACCTTGACTGGGCAGAGATTAGGCATAGTATTGCAGATTGGCTTTCTTCTTTGCTTGAACCTCCAGGATTCCTTCCATGTAGTCCTCGTGAGTGAGCTCTGTAGCTCCACGGCGGAGGGCAATCATTCCCTGCCCAACGAGACAGTATTTAGAGAGGGCATGTGCGCACCACACCAATGCAAAGGAACTACTCCATGCTAGCTTTCCCATTTCCCTCCCGTCGGTGCTGGCTGTTGTAGAGGAATACTTACCGCCTCAACGCACACAGCCTTGCACTGGGCTCCATTGAAGTCATCTGTGCAGCGGGCCAGTTCCTCATAGTTCACATCAGGGCTGATATAAGTGGGAGGGGGAAAAAACCAAAAGGTCTGAGAACACGTACCAAATAGAAAAAGCAAGGTATGGAGCCTCTTTAAAACCCAAAAGCGAGCGCTCAGCAAAAGAGAGCGTCTACCACTCCACAGCCCTGAGGTACCATCACGAGTGACAAGCATAGCCTCAGAAGGCCGTGCCTCTTCCATACCTGACATTCATTTTGCGTGAATGGATCTGCATAATTCTGGCTCTGGCCTCCTCATTAGGCATCGGGAACTCAATCTTGCGATCTAATCGTCCAGAGCGGAGCAAAGCTGGGTCCAAGATATCAACCCGGTTGGTGGCAGCAATCACCTAAGTAGAAGCAGGGTCATCAGTCTGAGGCAATGGAGGACACACCTCTCTTCCCCAAGGATCCACCAAGCTTCTTCCCTGGACATTGTTTTCCATCCCCCGCTAGAGCACCCAGGACCTCAGTAGCACTCTCTGCTAGTTCCCAACCTTGACTTGTGTGTTGGGCTGGAAACCATCAAGTTGATTAAGCAGCTCCAGCATGGTCCTCTGCACCTCCCGATCACCAGCCTTCTCACTATCAAACCTGAGGAGGAAACAAGGGTAGAACTATCAGCATGAACCTGACCACTCTGCCCCTATGGTTTTAATCACATAAAAAACCAGAATGACTGCAGTTCACACTCCTTGGACAAGGTCTTCCAAGTTCCTCCTTGAAACTACAGGAAGTCCTACCCTGATGAGGACTGCGACTAGAGTAACTGTCAGCAGCAGCTAAGTCTTATTATGGCCTTAGAGCTGAATGGGGCTAATGTTGTCCAGGCCCAAGTAGTAAATGAAGATGAACACCTCCATGTGCCTGATGCAGTCATCAGAAAACAGTTCTATATAGTGGGAGACCATCAGGTGGATCCCAAGTCTCATGGACTTCGCTCATGAGCCCAAGGATTGCAGCAACTGCTATCTATCTGTGGTCGGCTTTACACTCCATTTCTGAATAGGCCACACTTCAAGCTAGGCTTCCCTCACATACACAGGCAAAGGGGGCTGTTAGGCAGCTCCCAAGAGCTTTACAACATGGCCTACACCTCACCTTTTAGTACCAATGGCGTCCAGTTCGTCAATAAAGATGATGGAAGGAGCTTTTTCCTTGGCTAGAGCAAAAGCATCGCGTACCAGCTTAGCTCCATCGCCAATGAACATCTGCACAAGTTGTGGACCTGCAAGCTTCAGGAACGTAGCCTGGGAAGGGAAATAGAATCCTATGCCTCGTTTCTTAACAGGGTCACTTCTGAGTACTACAAGCAGCCCCTAATTAAAACAAGCACGCGAGCAAACAGACAAGAAAATCCCAGCCTTTGTATGTATGACCCCTCTCCCCTTGGAGGTGTTCTTATTTTTCAGGTACTGTCCTACAGCAGCACACATTTTCAAAGGTTCCCTTTACCTTGGTCTGTGCAGCACAGGCTCGAGCTAGAAGTGTCTTCCCTGTTCCTGGAGGCCCGTACATAAGGACTCCTTTGGGTGGCTGTATACCCAAGTTTTCAAATTTCTCCTTATGATTCATTGGCAGGACAATGGCCTCCACAAGCTACAGCAAAAGAAAAATGTTAGTACATGAAACAATTCTCCACAGATCCAGGCTGCCTGTTCTGAGCTGAAGTTCAAAGACTGTTGTCCTCAGTCACACCAGAAACTGGACAGAAAGTATCACCTCTTGGATTTGTTTATCCAGTCCCCCAATGTCACTGTACTGCTCTGTGGGTCTCTCATCCACCTCCATGGCTTTCACCCGTGAATCATATTCAGTAGGTAGAGTCTCCAGGATCAAGTAAGAGTCTTTGTTCACCCCCTGTAAACACAAGTCCTTTGCTTTTAACAGGCCTCTCAGATAGCAATTAATAAACACGCCGTCAAAGACGATTCACTAGACCTCAAGGATGCATTTGACACTGGCATTCACCAGATCGCCACAGCTCAGCACAGTGGACAACGCCACAGCTAACCTAGCATGTTTTAAAGAAGTGGGGCCAAATTTACTTAAAGAGATTGGTTTTACAAAGCTCACTAGGTGATATCTAAATTTTCAGCACCTGATCATATGTACAAAGAACATACAGCCCGAACTATACCACGAATGTGACTGAACTCATAGTATCTTCTTATTAAAATTTTAGTACAGAAATGGTCTTGGAGAAATCTGGACAGGTTTGTCTCCTTCCTAAAGGGCAAGACATATGCAATTTTCTGGCCAACATCATAGCTAACAAACAGTCACAACAGCATCACTCACCACTAGGTCTCCAGGCTTCAACTTCTCAGCATCAACCAACCCAATAACAGGCAGGAAGTATGTCTGTAGGAAAGAAATCAGAGTAAGCAAAGCCCAGCCATATTAGGAGAAGGCCCTTTTCAGAACTCCTCACACCTAGCTGGGCACATGGGTCTTACCTGGCGTGTAGAGGTCTTGATCACAGCACACTTGCCCTTCCTCTGGGAGTCCAGGTCAATGTTTGCTCCATCCTCCTCCTGGTCATTGGGGTCAACATCCAGCAACTGAAAACCAGAGAGAGATTTCCTGTAACAAGGCCAGCAGGATGACCCCAGGATTAATGCCTCTAAATTACATGCAGTTCGAGAAATAAAACTTCCCATCATCCGTCAGCAGTAGAATCCTGAAAGCATTAAAGCCCTCCTGTAAAAATTAACTTCTTCCTTTCCTCATGAAGCAGCATGCAACAGCGCACA